TAACTTGAAGAGAATGGTAAAATTAGTGTGACTTCTGTTGTTGCAGATTAGATGACAAATAACTTATGTTAGGGTTGTAAGATGTTACTTTTAGCAGAATGCATGCTGAACTGAAGTCATCCGTCAAACGGTTTCTGAAAATTCTTATATTAAAGAATCAATCACAGAAACAAATTCTTCAGTAATTTGGTCTTCGTCTGGTTTCTCATGTATTTCTAAATTGTTGTTATATTTTTTCAAATTTGGAAAATACTTGTAGTTTCCTGTGATGATATCGTTCCTGAAAACTGTCAGTGTAGCCACAAAAGCGCGAATGACATCTATCATGACGATAATTGTTTTATTTATGCCTTATACGTTTAAATTATTTGACGTGACGTGCCCAAAACATTGTGTTGCGTGCCACTAATGGCACGCGTGCCATTGGTTCGCCATCCCTGTTATAGGAGAATGATGAGGATACCGTAGGTGGAGAAGGTTAGAAATGAATAGGAGAACAGAGGACTATAAAAGTCAATAAGAAATAGGCGAGATAGGTTGGTAGGACACATTCTCAGGCATGAAGATCTAGTCGGAGACATATTAGATGCAGAAACGGGAGTTAGGGAGGGTTAGAGGTAGACCTAGATTAGATTACTGTTCACAAATAGTTAAGGGTTGTTCTAGCTTTAGTGAAATACGAAGATTAGCTCAGGATAGGAAGGAGTGGAGGTGCTGGTCCAACCAGTCTTAAGACTAACGACCTTATGATGATGATGATTATCTACCAATAACCCATAAGCCATAAACCATAACATCTTTGTCAACAGTTTGCAATACAATATATCTAAAAAAATACTATCTGTCTTAACGGGCTAATCTCAAAGAATTTAAATAATCTAAGTGTGACTTTTTTTATTAAAGACGTTTTGTAGCAATGCACCCGGTACTAGAAGAGCGATTTAGTTATAGAATTTTTTTTAATGAAGAGAATCGTTTGATCGATGCAACAATTCACGTAGGTGCAGCCAGCATGTGTACGTACACCTAAAAATACCACGGAAGTAATACCTTGCGAGAGCTTTGTTATCCAGCCATTACTTCGGTGTTTAATTGGATTAATGAGATGATGTACACAGAAGAACGCGCGCGCGTTTAACATCCGCAACAGCTAAAAATATCCACTGATGCAATCAGTTTAATTAAAAGGCGACAATGACATCTTGGAATCCCATTTTACTCACGGGATTTATATACTGTATAAGGAAACCGCGAACAATAAAAAAAAATGACGAAAAAGAAACAAACCACTGTTTCATGAATATCTCATCGCCGCCACCACTCACAATTAATACATTGCGAATAATGGCCTCCGTCGTGCAGCTCGGAACATGTGGTTCATGACTCCGGAGTGATCCTTCAGTAGTAAGACACATATGCTGACAAAACACCATAAAAAATTTACGATCACTACGTATATATATGCATACTAGTTGGATACTTAAACATATTACTGTCGTCGTGGGAAATTCTGCGCTATCTCCATCCTAGAATTTTATTGGATGCCAGACCGTTAGTATTCCTTATTGGAGCTTGTCAATTAAAACATCCCAACATCCCAACGTTCATTAAACATATCGAAACAAGAAAATATCAGCTACAATTCTTTATAAAACCCAGGATTACATTTCTAGATGGAATTTGTTTTATGTACGTATCCTTATCAAGTTTCAGTACCCAAAGGATCTACTTAACGGGAATTGAAATTCTGATGGTCGCGACCATGTTTGTCACGATTTATTATTTTTTTTGCAACAGTAAAAATCCTTCAATACTCAGAGGTTGATGAAAATGTCATGGATAAAAAATGTTAGAAATGAGGTGGTTTGAGATATGAATGATTAGTTAGAGGTATTACAAGTACAAACAGGAGTAAAGAGAGGAAGATTCAGATTAGATTACTGTTACACAAATCTAGATCATTCATGCCTGAGAAGGTGTCCTACCAAACTATCTCGCCTATTTTGGATTGACTTCCATACCGCCCTCTGTTCTCCTACTCTCTTTAATACCTCTTCATTTCTAATCTTCTCTTTTCATTCTCATTAACAGTTACACCTACGCATTGAAAAATTTGTTAAAGAAACTTTGATATCTTATTTTAGTAAAAACTGGTTTTGTACACATATACCATACGTGATGTTTCTTCAGTGTCACAGGTTCTTTATTTTTAAATTTCGTTCTCTTATTTGTGCTTGCCTTATTATTAAAAGTCAAAACGTCCAAAAAGTTTAAGAAGCAATAGAAAGCTATAGATAATAATTAAAGAGTACTTGATTGCGAAACGAAGAAAATTTCAACATAAAATCAGTCCCATTTTCATAGTTCGAAAACAATTTTACAATAGTGATTGAAACTGTGGCTACTTAGCGTAATAATTGTGAAAACATTTGTGTACTGAAATGTCGTGCTCGTAGTTAGTAAGATTTCATTGTAAAATGTGATATGGAGTTTAAATTTTGTAGGTTGTAGACAGCTTATTGTATTGTGCAACTGCTATTTCCTTAAGAAGTAATCAAACAAATACAGTAGCCAAATAAATACTTATTACTTCACAAAAGCTGACACGTAAATTTCAAATTTTTATTACGTACTGTGTTAATACAGATAATTCCAAAATTTCCTATTTTAATGTTTTATACGAATGCACAATTGATAACATTGTTTAAACTACAAGATAACTAATAATATTTGATTCCCATTACTATTAACGTAATGCTTAAGGTATGGGCTTACGTTTAAAACCAATAGTACAGCACATACAGTGGAATTCGTTTATTATAACTTCGCCTATATTGACCAATCGCTCAATATAAAGTTATTGAAGTGTTGAGTTTGG